TCCTTGGACACCCGGGGAGTAATATGGGTGTCTTCATGGAGCCTGTGATAGATGAGTTGATCGATGCTTGGGTCAAAGGGGTGTGGACATACGACCGAGCTATGAAGACTAGCTTCAAAATGCACATCTGGTACCACTACTCCCTACACGACTTCCTGGCATATGGGTTAATGTGCGCCTGGTGTGTTCAGGGGAAGTTCCCATGCCCAATATGTAAGGAAGCTATGAGGTTCATATGGTTGAAGAAGGGTGGCAAGTATTCGTCGTTCAACAAACATCGTCAATTCCTCCCTCTTGACCATCCATTCAGAGAAGACGTCAAGAGCTTTATGAAAGGTGTCAAAGTGACGGACCCTAGACCGCACTTGAGGACTGGGGCGGAGGTTTGTGCTCAGATAGATGCTCTCGTGCCCAATGAAGATGGTGGTTTCATGGGATATGGTGAGCAACATGTGGACTCATAAGTCCGGCTTGATGAGGCTCCCCTATTTCGATGACCTCCTACTGCCCCATAACATTGATGTCATGCACACTGAAAAGAATATCGCCGAGGCACTTTTGGCAACGCTCATGGACACTGACAAGTCTAAGGACAACCCTAAGGCTAGAGTGGACCTGGCGACGTTGTGCGATAGGCCAAACCTAGAGATGCGGCCTCCTGCAACAGGAAAGCAGTGGAGAAGGCCTAGGGCCCCCTATGTCTTGAAAATCGATCAAAGGAGGGAAGTACTTCGATGGATCAAGAATTTAATGTACCCAGATGGGTATGCAGCGAATCTGAGCAGGGGAGTGAACTTAGAGACTCTGCGAGTCAATAGGATGAAGAGTCATGATTACCACATATGGATTGAGCACATACTTCCGTCGATGGTTTGAGGCTATGTCCCTGAGCATGTCTGGCTAGTGCTGGCAAAGTTGAGCTACTTCTTTTGCCAGCTTTGTGCCAAGGAGCTATCTTCGACCGTCATTACAGAATTGGAAACTATGGCACCTGAGTTGGTCTGTGAGCTTGAGAAGATCTTTACACCCGACTTCTTCTTGTCGATCATGACATCGATTGTGCACCTCCCAACCGAGGCACGGTTGGGGGGGCGTCTGAGCCCATTGGTGCTATCCAATCGAGCGATGTCTAAAGACTCTTCGCAAGAAATGTACAAATAAAGCCAGAATTGAGGCTTCCATTGCAGAGGCAAGCATTCAGGAGGAGGTTGCAAACTTCACGACATCCTACTACAAGCCGAACCTTCCTAGCAAGCATAATCCACCCCCTCGTTACAATGCTGGCGAAGTTGAATCGACCCTCAGCCTTTTCAAATGCCAACTAGGCAGCACAAGTGGATCAACCCCCAAGAGATTGGATTCAAAAGAGTGGCGCAGAATCACGCTATATGTGTTCACCAACCTTGTCGAGGTTGCGCCATTCATTAAGTAAGTTCTCAACGAACTTGTTTCAATACGACATCACTATTCTGTATCGAACCCCATTGATTCTCTTTGGTACAGGGAATTTGTTCATCAAGAGTGGCATCAATCAAGGGATCCTACCCCGCACGAACATGATACCCTTCTTTCAGAGGGTGCGGGAGCTGGGAGGCCTGATTTCATTTCTTGGTTCAAACAAAAGGTCGTATGTTCGTCGATATTCCTTAGTAGCTCGTACGTTCCAATAGTATAACGATGTATCATGCTTGAGCTTGCAGGCGCAAACCAATGCGTCCATGAGTGATGAGTTGAGACAGGTTGCAAACGGCTTCAAGTTAAGGGTGAAGTCATATACCGGTTATGACGTGAACGGATATCGCTTCCACACGTCAAGACATGAGCAGACTCAGCTCGGTCGGAAAACCACCAACAGCCAAGTTTTTACGTTGGGCACTAATGGCGTCGAATACTACGGAATAATTGAGGAGATCTATGAACTTGAATATGAGGGCTGGGTACCTATTACTCCTGTCATATTCAAGTGCCACTGGTTTGATCCTGCACGAACGAGACGGACCCCTCATCTTGGGCTGGTCGTGGGACAGGTACAAGCTCGGCTCGGATGACGAGCAGGACAACAAGCAGGACCAGGTTTTGGTAGACTTTTGGGTAAGTGTCTCACAACATAGCTCAATACATCTCCTCCATTGCTTAAGTCTTTTATTGAAATAATGAACGGATACATCGTGTTTGTATGCAGAGGTACTTCAAGGCCGAAGAAGGTAGAGAGACCCTAGCGGATCAGACGGCACATAGAGTCTGTAAGAAGTACGTCGGCGACATGATTCATGAGGCGCGACTCTAGGCCCATGTCGACTACTATAGGTCCATCAAGAAAGAGCCCCTCAACAAAACCGGCGCAAGAAATGTGGCGCTGACCAAGGAGCAGTACCTTCAGGTAGGTGAATAATATTGATTCGTTTTGAGATTTAGTAGGTCCAGAATTGATCTTCTTACATGTCAAACACTTGATGATGTGTAGGTGCCGGCCTCATGGTGCATGTCGCATAGATCGGCATGGTCGAGGATCGTGGATAGGTACCTTGACACGGCGTACATCGCAAAGCACGAGCAAGGCAAGCGGAAGCGGGCACTAAGGACCGCTCCAACTCACCACCAAGGCAGCCGCAACCTCCCTGCATTCAAGCGGGCACTTGTACGAGATGTCATTTATCAATTCTAACGCTCAATTTTGCCTGATTTATAATCATCTTGCCGTCTTTCTCGTAGGAGGTGGCACACCCGAACGTGCCGGTGTTGGAGTTTGGGGCATGGGCTGTGCCCCACATGGGCCCGGTGAAATCCGGTGTCGTCTTCAACCCGAATGCCCCTGCCTAGGCTTACTCTGACCCGAGCGTCCACGCTAAGGTCAAAGACTACACGGAGGCAGTTAGGGCGCTCTGTGGCTCAGATCACAATCTGAGCACTGAGCCCCTTGAGACAGAGGTGATCGTGAGGCTGGGGCAAGGTAGGAAGCACGGACGGTTGTGGATTGCCGACTCCTCGAGCACTGCACCCTCTCTCTCCGCTGTGAGGGCACGGAGCACGGCCAGAAGCCTTCCCATACGTGCACGGCCTACTCCAACACTGTCGCGGGTCGATCCAGTTTCACTCGTCGTACATTGAACGTTACACACATTGATCAGATTTGCAATACTGAAACATGTGATTGAAACACTGCATGCCGAGCTGGCAGAGACAAGGGAGACACAAGCGCACCTGACCGCAGAGCTGGAGGCCACGAAGAAGCAGATAGCGGACATGTATCAGATCATGCAAACCATCGGGCAAGCATCGGGTGTCCAAGTGTAGTTGCCAGCTCCAGCTCCGATTCGACACTTCACTCCTGTGAGTATGAAAGTTTAATGCGTTCGTGCCATTGGGATTGTCGGCCTTCGTGCCATTGTGATTTTTGGCCTTCGTGCCGTTGGGATTGTCGGCCTTCGTGCCGTTGTGATTGTCGGCCTTCGTGCCGTTGTTTCTTGCAGGTTGGAAACCTCCCCGTGCAGGGAAGGTGCTGCCGAAATTTTCAATTTTGAGTGTAACACATGCAATCTCTTCTCTTTTGTGCAACCTCCGTCGGCGGGTTCAAACAATCCCGCTAGCGTGTCACCGGCGGCTGATCATGTCAACCCTTCGCCGCAGTCCGGTCCTTCACCGCTGTCCAGGGGGCCACACCTGCAGTTTCCGTCGCCGCATTAGGGATGTTGAACTTGTAATAATAAACTTGTGATGTTGAACTTTGGTGCATTTGTGATGGATTTTCGATGGATTTATTAAATATGCATGTGCTTGTGATATATATATATTGTCGGTTATAATGGAATGTAAAAAAAATTACAATTCTCGGGGATCTTTGCTGAGTGCCATGGGCAAGGCACTCGGCAAAGTTTTTTCAAAAAAAAAATTCTTTGCCGAGTGCCTCGCCGCGGCACTCGGCAAAGTATTTTTTTTAAAAAAAATCTAGAAATTCTTTGCCGAGTGCCTAAACAGGGACACTTGACAAAGAAATTATTTAAAGAAAATAAAAAAAAAACTTTGCCGAGTGTCTCGGACAGGGGCACTTGGCAAAGTAATTTAAAAAAAATAAAAAAAACTTTGCCGAGTGCCTGGGCACGGCACTCGACAAAGTACTTTTTTAAAAAAAATAAAAAAAACTTTGCCGAGTGCTGGGTCGGGCACTCGGCAAAATAACCATTAACGGCCGGCGCGCAACGGCCGAAAATATTTTGTCGAGTGCCACCCCAAGCACTCGGCAAAATTGTTTTTTATTTTGTCGAGTGCACCGATAAAAAGCACTTGGCAAAGACCCTTTGCCGAGCGGACTTTGCCGAGTGCAAAGGGCTCTTTGTCTTACACTCGGCAAAGCCGCGGCCTCCAGTAGTGTATTGTTATAGGCTTTCTCAAAGTCTAGCTTTAAAATAACCCCATTTAATCTTTTCCAGTGCATCTCGTGTAAGGTCTCATGTAGGATAACCACCCCATCCAGAATATTTCTACCTTTCATGAAAGTCGATTGAGAGGGTTGGATAACCTTTTTTGCCACTAGGGCTATTCGGTTAGTCAACACACCTTGGTGAAAATTTTGAAACTGACATTGATCAGACAAATGGCCCGGTATTGTTGGATTTGTGTCGCCTCTTTTTGTTTTGGTAACAACGTAACTGTACCAAAATTTAGACTAACAAGGCCTAAGGTACCCTTGTGAAACTCTTCAAAAAGGGGCATAAGGTCCCCTTTTATTACTTCCCAAAAGACTTGGTAGAACTCAGCTGGGAACCCATCTGGTCCAGGGGCTTTGTTACGCTCCATTTGAAAAATAGCCTCTTTGATCTCTCCTTCAGAGAAATGAGCCGTTAAGACCTCATTTTCAAGCTGTGAAGATGATACTGTGATCCATATATGATACTGGAACCAGTGAGGTGGAGGTAACACATATATATTGTGATCCATCACGCAAGTTCATTAATAACACATACATGCATATATGATACTGGAGGCCTGAGGCCGCTGTGAAGATGATCAACTCGTGGGTGAAGAAGGCCACTGACAACCTCATCGACTCTGTCATCTCCACCAGCGACATCAACGCCAACACCGACCTCGTGCTCGCCAACGCTGTATACTTCAAGGGCCCGTGGCTGGAGCAGTTCAACCACTTCACGGAGCGGGGCACGTTCCATCGGCTCAACGGAGACCTCGCCGAGGCAGAGTTCATGGTGAACGGCCTCATGACGAGCAGCATCAGGTGGCAGGACATTGCTTGCATGGACGGGTTCAAGGTCCTAAAACTCCCTTACGAGCCTGGCGCCGCACCAGCGCTGTGCACGGAGTCCGGTGCAGGGCTGCCAGCTCAAGCGCCGCCGCGGGCATGGCGACGCAAAGTCCAAGGACACGCTCTCCACGGAGGTCAACGAGGGCACGCAGTACTCCATGTTCATCTTCCTCCCGGACGCGCGCGACGGCCTCTCGACCATGGTGGATATGGTCACCACGTCACCATCGTACCTGTACGGCATCTTGAACGAGATGGAGAAGAAGCTTGTCAACATCAAGCTGCCCAAGTTCGAGATTACCTTCAGCTGGAGTGACCCTCAAGCACGACCTTAGCCGTCTGGGTCTCTCGCTGCCGTTCTCGCCGGAGGCCGCCGACCTACGTGGCATGTGCAATGGGGACGATGACATCGTCGCCGGCACTGCACGCCGTCCGACGTTCCTGTCCAAAGTTGCGCACAAGGTGGTGGTCAAGGTGAACGAGGTGGGAACCGAGGCGGCCCTGGTCACCGTGGCCATCCGTGGTGTCGGCGGGCCACCGCCTGGCATCGTCGAGTTCACCGCCGACCATCCCTTCACCTTCTTCATCATGGAGGAGCGGTCCGGGGTGATCGTGTTCGCGGGGCATGTCCTTGATCCGACCAAGTGATCGGTTTCAGAGATAAACTCACTCCAGCCTATACCACTACTCTGCATTTCTGACTGCTTAAAACTGCCTCAATTGCTTAGTTGTAGTGTTTTATTGATATACTTACTGGCAGTGGCTAGTCGTTACGTTGCCATTACTACTGAAATTCAGATTGTCTTTGCACATGAAAACGAACAATGTCATGATAACACTCCGTGTAATTACGTTGCTATCTGTCCTAATTGACCAGACATTACTGCTAAAATAAGGAATGTTAATTTCGTCCTATATTTGCTGGTCTCAGCGCTAATGTTGTTGCCCTGTCCTGCAATTCAGTGGTTTTCATTACTCATCCTTCATCTTTTCAGCCTTGCTGTCTGATTGCAATTTCTGATATGACTACTACAGAAACGTTTTTTTAGGGCGGCTCGTAACCCTTTGTAGGGACGCAGTTTTGCCAGCCGCTCCTATGAAGGGGTTGCTACAAATCGTTGATTTATAGGGACGATTCCCAGAATGCCCCTACAAATCGATTTGTAGGGACGGCCGGATATTGAGCCGCCCCTATAAATCAATTTTCAGAAATCATGAAAAAAAGGGCAAAAAATAGCAATTTTTTTTATCCGAGGAGGTCCCACCGGCAGCCACACACACCCCCACTCTATCGTACGTAAACTCCTCTACCACTACACCTCACGATCACTTGTGTCTACATTTCATTTTGGTTCCCCACATATTATACAAAACAGAGCATAAATTGGTTATTTGAGGCCCTAAACTAATTCAAATGAAAAAGTTGTCAAGTACAAAGTTTTATAACTTTTCGAGATCTACAACTTTCATTTTGGTAGTTTCTCCATCCGAGGTCACATATACAATTTGAATTTCAAATTTGAGAAATTCGAACGTAGTTTTCCATGACAAGATGATTTCAAATGAGAAAGTTATCAACTATAAAGTTTCATAACTTTTCAAGATCTACAACTTTCATTTTTACTGTTTGTCCATCCGAGGTCATTTAAAAATTTCAAATTTCAAATTTTTAGAAATTCAAACGTAGTTTTCCTTGACAAGATCATTTTAAATCAAAAAGTTGTCAACTACAAAGTTTCATGACTTTTCGAGATCTAAACTTTTATTTTGGTTGTTTCTCCATCCAAAGTCGTTTACAAAATTTAAATTTTAGTGCTTAATTTTTAATACTCGGATGGCACTTCAATATTGAGCTGCCCCTACAAAGAAAGGAAGACGTTGCTACAAATCGTTTTTGTAGTAGTGTATGCGTCATTCTGATGAGGTCACTAGTTCCTTATGAGCACGATCTGGTGACAATAAGCCGCTGTGATTGCTTTGAGGTCCACTGTCTGTCCCTCATTGCTAGCAGGGTCAGAGTCGTATGTCAATGCTTATTTAAGCACACCTAGTGGAGGAGGTTAATGCGGATCATTCAGTTAATAGAGATCATGGCCGCCGCCCCTGCTGCTCCTCAGCTCCGCCATCAACCTGGGCCTCGGCATCCAATTCCAACTCCAACATCGGCCCTCTGTGTGGCTAGGTCCGGTGCAGCTCGACGATGTGGAAGTCCAAGCAGCACGGCGGCGTTACATACCGACAAGCTCGACGATGCGGAGGGCGAGCGATCATGTTCACGGCCCCATCGCCTTCACAGCTGCACTGATGCCGTGATGCGTGATGCCTAGTAGTATCCGGCGAGCGAAGCGACCTGTTCGTGGTGGCTCCATGGAAAATTGGCCAAACGAGTATTTTACAGATGTAAATAATTGCAGTTGTATTACAGTGCACAAGATATTACGTTTGGAAACTGATTACCAGTGAATAAAGTTACAAAGCTGCCAAGCAGAGCCTCGGAGCATCTCCAAGAGTTTGGCATATTTTGTTCACAAAACATGGTATTTGTCAACTCCTAAATAATTTTGGAGAGAGAAAAAAAGAGGCCATCTACAATAGTACCCTATAATTGACTTTCAAAATATCATATTTGTGGACCCACACACTAATCCTTCGCGGTTTTTCTTTCCCCCGTCACGAGGTCGCGACACCCGTCCCATCTATGTCGCCGCCGCACGTCTTCGCTCTTCTCTGAGCAGCAGCCCAGGCCAGGCCCGCACCCGGCTGGTCGCCGGTCTTCCTCCCAGCCGGCCGCCATCAGCTGGCAGACAAGCACGTACAGGTAGCCATAGCACCAGAGCAGCAATCTTCTCTTTCCCATCAGTAGGTACAGTAGCATGCACGTCGGCCAAGTAGCGTTCAGGAGCAGCCGGTAAGTAACATATACATCCAGGCAACAGAATCAACAGGCATGCAACATATACAATCTAGCAAGCGACGGAGGAACGAAAATAAAGTTAAGATCTACACTCCTGTGCCCACAGCTTTATCCAGGGCCAGGCCATCGCCATCCACGGTCGAGCGCAGGAAGGAGGAGGCGGCGCGCGTGACTCCTCTCCGCGTATTGTTACGAACGGAGGAAGCCGGTTTGCCAAGAGAGAAAAGATAGGGATACGAGAAACTCTTGAAGATAAGTTTTTCTTTTTTTTCTAAAAAACATAGATGGAGAAAGAATATGGGGCACTCTTGGAGATGCTCTGAGTAAAGAACAGATACTTACTATCATAATTAATTTAATGGTTTTAAGAATAGTGCATTTCTTCCTACCAACTAGTTAATCAGCCTATTTACTTGTTGATTTCAGCCAGGGCTTATCAGTCATGATACAATATTTTTCCTCTCACAATAAACTAGCACCAGTCGGGCTTATCAGCTCAGAAACCAACCAGCGAACAGACTAAATATTGCAGAGACACAATGATTTATATTTAAAAAAAAACAGTTTGTGCCGATGCTAGCTATCGTTGTTTATAGGCAAGCACAACTCGAGACTTTGCTTTGACGGCGTCGTTCTCGGTGAACCAGCGGTGTTTGAGAGCGTCGGCGGCGGTGGGCCTCTCCGAGGCATCGAAGGCCAGCAGACCAGCAAGCAGCTCACGCCCGGCGAGCGACACCTCCTCCAGCACGCCGTCGAATGCCTCCGCTCCAAAATTGACGATCTCATCTCTCAGGTCGACCGTCTCATCGAGCAAGTCCTCCTGGGTATCCGCCGTGAACAGGGGTGCGCCGGCGAGGAGCTCGGCCATGACGCACCGGAGCGCCCAGACGTCCTCGGCCGGGCAGTAGCAGCGGAGGCCGTTCAGCTGGTGCAGCGACAGTACCGCAGCGTGCCCATGGGAGGGTGCGGCTCCCGGAGGAACCTCTCCGAGGGCGTGATCGCGCATCTGAACCCGCAGATCTTGAGCGCGCCGCCGTCGCCGACGACGATGTTGTCAGGGTTGATGTCGCGGTGGGTAACCCCGGCGCCGTGCATCGCCACCGCGGCGCCCAGTAGCTGCCTCATGAGCGCCCGCGTCTCGTCCTCGGAAAACCGCCGCGTGAGCCGGCTACGCAGCGTGCTGGCGCCGAGGAGCTGCTCCGTGACGATGAACAGGTCCCCGGTCTTGTCGTCCGCGGCCATGCCCTTCAGCTGCAGGATGGAGGGGTGGCCGAGGCATGCGGCCACAGGCAGTTGGCCTCGCGCACGACCGCGCAGAGGCTCACCGCGCCCAGCGACGGACCTAGGATTTTATCACAGGGTATGCCATAATTTTTCTATGCAATTCGATAAACCATTTATAATTCGATAAAACTATGTTCTAATTCGGTAAAACCAACTACATTAAATAATATGATGAGCCTTAAATTAAAAGATTAAGCTACAAACGACAATAAATCTCGATATAAAATGTTTGGAACTTTCGATTTGTTTGGAACTTTCGGTTAGAAAACTCACAAGTCACAGGATATGATGGACTAGTGACCGGATGCTAATTATTGATCTGATGCAGTGATGCGGATGAATGAACTCACGAACTGGAAAAAAATGACTCATACATAAATAATTAAAATTATTTAATTACACAAGTAAGAAGAAGAATAGAAGATTAATCTTAAACCTGCCTGCCGCTGTGCGTCTCAGTATCTCGCCGAGCGGCAGCCGGCCGAGACGATAACGTTGCAGGCCCTCCGGCGTCCGGCTTCGCCGCGGCCGCGCCTCCGAGTCTGGCGAGTCGGCGGCCGTCGTGGCCGCGTGGGCTGTGGGCGCGTGGCGTCGTTCCGTGATGGCGTCGATGTGACCGCGCGGATTCGACTCTGCCGCTTGCGAGTTGCGACGATCCAGCGGGATGGTTGCAGGCGGTGCGCGAGAGTCAATGCGTGGGACCGATGGGGTTTCGAGCCAGGTGGAGCGGAGTAACTGCGCCGAGCACCGTATGCGCGAGTTCGCGTGCCCGCACAGATGCCAAACGGCTGGGAGGCGTCGGGTACTCGGGCGTGTCTATCAGGTAGTAAGCTTTTTTTCTTTTTTTCTTACATAAAAATTTATATTCTGGTTCACTTACACCTGGACCCCAGGGTATGCCGTGGCCCACCCAGCATACCCTGTGGGGCCGTCCATGACCGCGCCGTCGTCGCCCTCGCTAGGGCGCACCCGCTTGACGGCGACCGTCTCGCCCGTGGACCGGTCCCACGCCTCGGCGACGGCGGGGTCCTCCGACGGCCCGAACTCCTCCAACATCTCGTAGCGGTCGATGCTGTCGAAGTCGAACTCGTAGTTCACCTCCACCATGTCGTCGCCGATGTCGTCGTCGAACCTGAACTCGTAGTAGTACTCCGACGGCATCTTGTAGTAGCGGCGTCGTCTCTGCTTCTTGCCGGCCTTCCCACGGCTGGGTGCCGGGCGCTTGCGATGTACGATCACCTTCAATGCCATGAGCGACGAACGAGGAACGAAGCCGGATGGATTGGATCCGGGCGAGAGATGATCAGTTGGAGGCCTAGCTTGCTAGGGCGCGGCGAGAGGGTTTTGTTCCGGCCTGCGGTCGGCGGTGATCGAGTCCAGATCGACTTCCTCTTGCTTTCGGTACGTACGTGTCGACTCGTCGAGATTTATAAATGCCGGCGGCCGTCTTGGCTTCGAGTCCGATATGGTCGAGACTTGTGATTGCACTGGGTTGCGGTTTGCACGTGCGTGCGTGATGCACCGACTCGCATCCGAGGAAGGCGCACCCGAGGGTGTACAAGTGCTTTTGTTCCGGCCTCTCCGGCATGATGTTCCTGCCAATTAGCGGCTAGCGCCTAGACGTCCGGTTGCAGGAGGCGTCCGGACGCTGCTCCCGTTCGAGTGCATTGACCGTGCCCTGTCACATCCCTACAGAACAGAAGCGCACCCCGTCATGTTCCCGTAACAAAAGTGCGCTCATAACCACGCAGCGCCGTAACAAACAGGTGCGCGCATGCAGCGCCTGCCTCACTCCGCCTACGGATGCGCACCGCGGAGGCATCTATCGGACTCAGGCGCCCGCACGTTAATCCACGGCGGCAACCCAGCTGCAGCAGCAGGGGCTGCGGCAGGTGGGTTACATTGCAACATGTGCAACACTCGATCTATTTTTTTCGACAAAAGAAGAATTATATTAGATAAACACTTGATCTACTTTTGAAACATCCAAATGCAACACTTGCAACATACATCTGAATACAGATGAAACACTTGAAACATACATCTGAAACCCTTGTAAAAACACATAAAAAAACACTTGAAAACCATTACAAACCATAAGCAACGTCCAGATAAAACACTTGCAACATACGTGTAAATCATATGCAACATCCAAATAAACACACTTGTAATATACGTCTGAAAAAATGGATGAAATATTAGGAACAAACCTTGCAACATACGTGTACAACCATTGCGACATATGCAACATCGCGATCTGTGCTTTCAAGCGCAACATCTATTTGCTTCTTCGATGAAATGCAAGCTCGTCGACGTGGAGCTCGACGTCGGAGTGGAGCTCGATGTCGCGGAGTAGCGACGGGCGATGCATGCGGTAGGCAATTTCTCAGCCCCAGCGAGCGGCTGTGTGGCTCCAGTGATAGGGCGGGTGGGTGCGGTCCCCCACGGTGAGGCGCCAGCACTGCCCGTGGCAAGCGCATGCGCTGCCTGTGGCGAGCGACCCTACGCTGGAGAAGGTGAGCAGGCGGCGCGGTGGAGTCGGACGCAGAGGTCGGATAGCGCGGTGGATAAGGCCTTCTGAACGAGCGGACATGAGTGGATCAACGGGTGTGTCCAGAAAGACCCTATTCTAATCAATATCGTTGTTTTTAATGGGTTAAAACTCATCTCTTACCTAATCTAATCCATAGCAAATTAATTCTTTATAAGTTACCACAACCTATTCTTAAAAAAAATTCAAACCATTCCAATTCAATCACTACCGGAGGCGACTTCTTTTGCCGAGTGCCTGAGGCACTCGGCAAAGGCCGATATACACTCGGCAAAGCCTTTGCCGAGTGTTACACTCGGAAAAGGGCGCTCGGTAAACAGTTTATCGGCAAAGACCTCTTTGCCGAGTGCACTTTATCGGGCACTCGACAAAGAAAAGTGGCCGTGACGGCGAGCGCCACCGTGACGGCGGCTTTGCCGAGTGTCAAGGTCAAGCACTCGGTAAAGGTACCCGCTTTGCCGAGCGCCGTTGACTTAGACACTCGGCAAAGGTGGCCACTGTGCCGAGTGCCGCCGACAAGACACTCGGCAAACAGGCGACCTTTGCCGAGTGCCTGGCCCGTGGCACTCGACAAATCTGTGATTTTTGCCGAGTGCAATGGTCATTGCACTCGGCAAAGCATGTTCCCAGGTAGTCACTTTGCCGAGTGTCATGGCCATTGCACTCGACAAAATCACTGAAAACAACCTTTTTATTTGTTTTTTACATCCCATCCAAACAAACATAAGATATATATAACAAACATCACCAACATCATATATATATCATCAACAACACATATATATCACCAACACCATATATATATCACAAACGTCACATATATATCACAAACGTCACATATCTCACAATATATCACAAATAAGTTCACAAGTAATCCAAGTGCTCCATCATCTTCAACCACAATTGCAAATAGAAGTACCATTAACAACCACAAGTATCATCACTGATTTGGTGAAGGATTCGCTGAAGCATGAGGATCGTTCGATGCCGCCGATTGATTCTGCACAAAGAAGAAGAGATTGCATGTGTGAGACAAGATAAATATATACCATACATGAATAAAACTTTCATACTCTACTAGGTTTGACTGTAAGCATGAACATACAAACTAAAACATTTATACTCGTAGGAGTAGAATATTGAGGAGGTGGAGGTGGAGGTGGAGCGAATAGCGAAGGTGGCGGAACTACACCTGTAGCGGCGCCAAGACTTTGCAAGTACTGAAGAATCTCCGCCATCCTCCGCTGCTCGGCCTCCCGCTCGGCCTCCACCCTCTCCATCTTCGCCTGCATCTGCTCCCGTATCCTCCTCTCTTGTTCCAGCTGGACCTACAATATATTCACCCCAATGTTACAATAATGCAAAGGAAAGGTATGAAAAAACCAATGAACGACGAATAAACCAGGAATAACCTCGAGTGCCTCCACCCGGTGGTGTGAAGTGTCCCGCCGAGGTCGTATGGCCAGGCTCCTGCTCGTGTTGCTTGCTCGAATTTGGGAGAGACTGGGAGTAGCGACCGAGTCGATTGCGCCGTCACCAATCCAGTACCACCCATGCTTCTTGCCTCCTCCCACCCTCATGATGACTTCTCCATCAAGGTCCTTAGTGCTCGGATCATACTGTGGCCCATGGACCTCCCTTACCATCGATGTGTACTCACTGAGGCGGTTGTGGACGGTCGCATTGCTATACGCCTCGGGCCCATCCTCCGGGTTGTAGTCGACGTCGGACGTCGCCTTGCCGTTGTGGGCCATAGCAAATGCCTTGAAGATGGAGCAAGGCTAGCCACCATGTGACGCCGACTACAAGAAAAACAGCAAGATGATTAGAAATTATGCAGAATTGAGTATTAGAATAAATAAATGAATTCGCGTACCCATGTTTCTGCGTATCCGCTAAGGCTGCGGCTGCCTTGATGGTGTGCTACACCTGGCATCATCAAACGCCGCTCCCGGCATAAGTTGTGCGTCTCCTCCCACTCACGTGAGCACCACTTGTCCACCATCTGTTCCCAGCACTGGGGAGGGGTGGCGCACCAATAAGGAATCATCTACAGGCCATCAAGTACATGACATATCAGAAGATGAAATTAAGCCTACTTAATCTCAAAAGGAATCAGTATTAATGTTCTATATTTACCTGCAGGTACTGGTCCTGGGTCAGCGTCATGCTCCTTGCATCCCTTTTGGTGACCTTCATTCCAAGGACGGTCCCGTGGTAAGTTACGATGGCGCCTCGTAACGCATGTCCACGATGAGTTTTTTGCAGCATTTGGTAGCCATCGCATCCGCCCTGGCCTCATGTCTGTCCTGGCATCTAAAGAAATCCTGCATACAAACACGATATATCCATTCATTATTTCAAGAATGTCCAATGAATGCTATGTATTGAGCAATGTAGTGCGATGAGGACTTACCCACAGCTTTTGCTTCACCCGCTCCGCCTTGTTGTTGAATACCCTACGGGCCCGATCTACAGCATCGGGGGCGGCGGTGTAGTGGTCAAACGAGTAGGCCGGCCCCATCACTCCGGTGTACTCAACCAGGCTAGGGAAGTGCTCCTTGCACAGAAGACCGAGGATGCCATTGACCACCTTCTGGATTGACCACCTTCTGGATTGACCACCTTCTGGATTGACCACGAGACCATCTTCTGGATTAACCACGAGACCATCTATCTGTTCACGAACCGCGGCACCAGTCATTATCGGTGGTGCAGGGTCTGTCACTACGACACCTTTCGTAAAGTTCTTGATGTCTTGTCTGAATGCATGGTCAAGAGGGAGGAATTGCCGATGTTTGTCGAACGATGAATACTTGCCACCCTTCTACAACCAAATGAACCTCAGATCTTCATTGCATACTGGGCATGGGAACTTCCCGTGAACACACCAGGCGCAGAATATCCCATACGCCAGGAAGTCATGCAGGGAGTAGTGGTACCAAACATGCATTTTGAAGTTTTTCTTTGTAGCTCGGTCGTATGTCCATACCCCTTCCTCCCAAGCATGGACCAATTCATCAATCACAGGCTCCATGAACACACCCATATTATTCCCCGGGTGTCCAGGAATTATCAATGACAAGAATACGTTCTGTCGTTGAAAGCATACGCCGGGGGGGAGATTGAGGGGGATAACGAACACGGACCAACATGTGTATGGGGCAGCCATCATTCCATAAGGATTGAACCCATCTGTTGCCAGCGCAACACGTACATTATGAGCCTCTTTAGCTTTCTCATGATGAATGCCATCAAAGTGTGTCCATGCTTCACCATCGGATGCATGTCCCATCCTGTCAGGATTGTATCGTTTGCTATTTTTGTGCCATGTCATCTATTTCGCGGATTCCTCGATCATGTATAGCTGTTGGATCCTCGGTATGAATAGAAGGTGCCATAGGATTGTCACGGGAATATCAAGCTGCCTCTTCTGGCCATCACCAGAATCTACCTCTAGGAACCTAGAGGATTTACACTTTGGACAGTACTTTGCTTCCACGTATTCTTTCCTAAATAGGACGCACCCCTTCGGGCAAGCATGTATCTGCTCATACGGCATCTTAAGTCCACGAAGGAGTTTCTATGACTCGTGCATGCTCTTTGGCAGAAGGTGACCCTCTAGAAGCAGGCTGTCAATAACTGTCAACATACCATCGAAGGCGTCTCGACTCAGGCTATACTGGGACTTTAACGCCAT